TCATCGGGCCGTACTTCTTCAAAGACGACAATGGCCGGAACGTAACTGTGAATGGCGAGCGCTACCGTGCGATGATAACAAACTTTTTTTTTGCCCAAAATGGAAGAGCTGGACTTGGCTGACATGTGGTTTCAACAAGACGGTGCCACATGCCACACCGCACACGAAACAATGGCCCTATTGAGAGGCGAGTTCGGTGAACAGTTTATCTCACGTTTAGGGCCCGTCAATTGGCCGCCTAGATGTGTGATTTAACGCCGTTCGACTATTTCTTGTGGGGCCATGTTAAGGCTAATGTCTACAGGGATAAACCAGCAACGATTGACGCACTGGAAGCCAATATTGGAGCATTTATTCGTGAGATACCGGCCGATATGTTGGAGAGAGTGTGCCAAAAATGGACCTTGCGCATGGGCCAAAGCGGAGCCGCGGTCAACATTTACATGAAATAATCTTTAAACATTAAATTATATCGACCGTTCTATCGACTCAAATAAAGATTTAATCGTTTTTTCAAATTTTTTGTGTTTTTTTTGAAAATCAGATCCTATACCTCTTAAAAAATCACCCGTTAATTTCTAAATTAAGAGAAATTATTCGAGCTATTTTTATATCCAGAAGAAATATCGTTGTCGTATGTTTTACCTGCTACGCCAAGCAAAATAGTATTGTAGTCGCGAAAAATGGCGTCAAGTAGGTTGACTCTGCACTTCACATATAATGCCGTCATCAGTTCATAAAGGATTTTTCACAAGTTAGACCCTCTGAAATAAAAGTTAGTTACAAACATGTGTAACGTAAAAATTAAATAGATCAAGTCAGTCAAACAGGCCCATACAATTGGCCCATAGATATCCTACAGGTAGTACCGTCCATCTGGCAACCTCGCCCCTTCCCAATATCTGACCGCGTGACAGTAAAAGCAGGGCACTTACCGAAACCGGACGTCCGTCAGTGAACCCAGAGAGCAGATGCTGAGACGCAAATTCTAAGGTCAAATGTACGGAGAAATTTATGAAATATATATATTAGGTAAGTGGAATTGCCGTTGTGTGCGTATAAATATACTAACATTCAAAAATTGAGATGCACCTTCCTCCACCCCCTACAACCTCAACCTTCGACTTCTGACCTCTACAAAAATGTTTCTGTAAATGCTCAAACCTCTGAAACGTCAAAAAACAAACTTTGAGCGAGTTTTTTTGCTTTTTATCCCGTGGCTCTGGACCGATTTTCAAGTACTACAAAGCCTCATTTCGCTCCGTCTGTTTATCGGTCTGTCTGTCCGTCTTCCTGTCTGTCTTCCGACATGCCCTCTAGTTATTGCCCAACTAAAAATTATCACTCCTATTAGAGTTGCAAGAATGATTATACAGTATTCCTTAAACAGCATTGTATACTGTAAGAACATTAGCAAAACCTTCTTAGAACTGCTATACAAGCGGAATGGGCACACTTAATAGGATACTTCAGTCATTTGAGAGATTGTATAAGGGCTGCAGGTAACAGTTATACAACAAAAGTGTAAGCCTCATGCAGCCACTATACGACATTTGCGTCAGTGCAAGATTCAGGTTTTGTCAACTATACAACTATTCTGTTACGTGATTCTACTTTATTGCAACCAAACTATTTCTTATGTATTGTATAGATGAAGTGAATAATATATAACTAACACATTACAGTCATCTTGTTTACTTACATATCGGCCATGGTGAATTTCATACACAGGTATATGATAAACTTCTACCCTGTGACACAGGGCTATTGAATTACTTGCGCAGCAAATTTTATTGTGATTATCGTGCAAATTAGTTACGCAATTTCTACTGGCTTCGTATTTGATTCATATTTTGATAATGATCAAAAGTATGTCTAGATTTTTAAGATGGAAAACTGAACTTATCTGCGTTAAATCTCCCACAAATCCTATATTTGGACACAATTACACTAATGTTTATCACTTTATATCTGCAATTTCGAACTAAAACATAATTATTTACTATTAAATAGAGGAATAAATGTTGGCACAATATGGCGGGTGGTTGTGTATAATCATGGCATCGTCCATGTTGTCTTTAGGTTATTAGAATATTTTGGTGTTACCTGCAGGTGTTATACAACAATTTGACAAATATCTGAAATGAAATACCGACAGAGTCTAATGATTCACCCAGAATTTGTATCAGATCTATATCTTCTGTTTGAACAGTTGATAAAACATTTTGAACCAATATGCATACGTTGTTTGTCTTAAAACATTGGTTATGGCATTTTAAAAAAAATATGACAGCAGAAAGTTAGGTTATGGTGAAGTTGTATACCAACATAATAAGCATATATACAGCCTTTAACAGTTACTAAACAACAGTTGTATAAGTGCTTCCGTTGGGAGCAATTTGTTGGCTGAAGTAGAAAAGTACCGTTCGGATTTTGATAAATTCTTAATACAATGTTACTGCTGTGGCACGGACAAAAAATCTTCGTAGGTTTTGAAAATCGACAAATAAAAAACCGCCAAACCTTCGTTTCAGAGACCCTAATTGTTTTCAGAAGAATTTTCGAGGGGAGATAAACTGGGGGTGAGGGCTGTATGGGGTGGGGAAGGCTAAATCTCAATTTTTAGAGGTTTACACATGTCCAATCCCGGTAATTCTACACAAAAAATAAGTTCAAATCGCCTTATGAATGAATACGAATTTCCTTTTTTGTATTTCAAGAGGAGCCAATGGCGGGACAATTGATTTATTTTTGAAAACTTTACCACTCTGCATCTCAGAAGTTAAGACCGTTGGGACGTTAAACCAATGGACCCAAAAATCACCCCATAAATATTTACATTCAGTTAGGGAACACGCTGTATAGATATTACTTATAAAATGTGTTTCTAAATGTGTGTATCAACACAAAGATTAGCACATGTTCTGAAATTTCTCTGGTAGTTGGCAGCCCCACAAAAATAGACAGATTATTGCGTTGAAAATTGCAGATTTATCCATGTAAACGTCACAATGTGAGCGAACCATCATTTGTCCTGGCATGGCTGAGCATGGAAACAGCAAATCGGTCCGATTCTGAATCCTGATGCAGCACTTCTGCAGAGGAAGAGGCGCATCGGTGTGACGATGCCACGCGACGCCGCGGCAGACGGCGCGTCGCGGCGCTTTGACGTCATTCGGTACAGTGGCGTCGCATTTGGGGGACAATCAGGGGGTCAAGCAACTCCAATTTTTATTATTAAATAGAAGTTAGTAAAGTATCTATAGTCCATGGGGTATCGTTATAAAATATTTTTAATTGGTTTTTTTGCATAATCTTATTAAAAAAATGTCTTACATTGCGCTTCTGTCATGAGGGCAAATATGCGGTGAAATCTATATCTGAAATATGTCTAATAGCTACATAACATAAATTACCAGGGCTAGAAATATTTAAATCTACTAACGGCAAACAACTGAGATATAAATTATTCCTTGTCAAATATTCGTATGAGGGTCGAGCTCTTTCAGGGCCGAAAACAATAACCGACTTCTTTACTTGCTGATAGACCTTGAAGGTGGATTATATAATTTCTCTGTGAAAGTGAATATTCAAATATTTAAATTTAATTTAAATAATAATTTCTCAACAAATGCTTAAGCTGCTAAAAATTAATGCAAGCATGTCGAAATATTAGTTTAATCCACACTAATGCCAAACAATTGGGATATATCCTCCGCTACCCACGTCCACCCTCTAACGTCCTTTCTTTCTCCCGTCTAAAGAAATTCAAAAATGAAAAGCGCAAAAACATTTTCAAAAATTAAAAGCTTATTCGTAGGTAGTAACCCTGTGTAAAAACCTCATCAAATCCGTGCGGTACTTCCCAAGTTGTAGACGGGCCAAGGATTAGCAGACAGAGAGTCAGACAGACGGACAGACAGACTGACGGAAATGAGTGACATAGTTTTTCGCTATGTACATGTCATATAACATCCAAAAACATAATATCCCATTTTCGCGAGTACAATATTTCGGCAGTGGGCGTGAGAAGTGTAGTAGTTTATTTAAACAAATCCGATCAACTGGTTTTTCCGCTCCACGCAAAGTGTTTTTAGGTTCTTTGGGTCATTCTCAATTGGTCATGGATAACTGGTTCAAAATTCTGTTCCAAGATTTATCACACATATACTAACATGCTAACATACAAGTCAAGTTAAATAAAAAGCTTGTAAAGTACCGAATGGCAATCTTTCACACGATTATCAGGTAGAGCCTTTGTTTTCCGATGACTATTTTTAGACTCCATCACCAGTAAAAGTATACACAGCAAGCGCCAAACCATTTAGCAGCGTATTATTTATCTGGGTAATATCAAAAAGGAAGAAAGGGTGCTGCGAACATTTCCGCTATCAAGAACACAATAAATCGAGGAGAAGGAGGAACTGAGTTATCACAAGGGAACATCGTTGCTGGAGGGTGGAAAAATTTGTCAATATTTTATGAATAGGTAACTGACAAGTAGGCCAATCGACAGGGAATGAAGAATGCGCGTCTGTGATAAAATACGGCCATTCGGACAATAATCAGAGTGCTCCAGTATAACTTGCCAATATCTTGCATACATACAGAACGTCATAAAAATATTACCACAAGATCCTACAAAAATGTCCTACAAGGTCGGTTTCAAAAGAAGCAATACCGAAGAAAGGATGAGGAAATCGATATCGATCATTCCGATGGAATTGATGCCGATGGTTTCTATCCCGATGATTCAGATTCCGCAGCCTAAAACTAGCAGTGGGAGTCCGTCTCCTATCGTATTCTACAAATTAACATCAGTTTATTCAATCGGTAGGTACTATGAGCGTCCACAAAGTAGACAAGTTGCTATGTTTACCCTCCTTTTCGTTTATGTCGGCTCAGACATACGGAATTCTATTCTCAACGTCATTGTCGCGTTCGTCGATTAAAAATAAAAGATCGTCATTTACTAATAATTTAATTAAAACAACACGGTTGTTGGTATTCTCCAATAATTGTTGTTGAATACAATTTATTGTATGATGCACCGCTTCTTTATTTAAACGAAACAATTCCCCAAATCGCGTATCTTCAATGAATAAAAGGATCATTCTTTTCTTGCATCACTCTTTTTTCTAGCTATCCCACTCTGGTTGCTTTCAATCTTCCTCCTCGCTTCCAGAATTTGAATTGCATCCAGTAGAGATTTTTTCGCGAGATCCCGTAGTGAACCGGAGCGGGAACAGATGGAATTTCCTCTCCCTCTCGAAGTTTTGACAGTTTCAATTTCAACCGTGAGGGGTTAGATGGCGCATGTTACGCAAAATGTTTGCTTTAAGCTCCTTGATAAACTTAGCTGCCTTGTTTGAATCTGAAATCAAAAGACCGATCGTTTTTCGTGCAATGTACATATAGGTGTATATCAATAAAATCAATCATTTGATATGACGAGTGCGGTTCATATATCTTCGATGACCGTCATTTAAAATCAGGTCGACGTGTTCCTCCATTTATGATTTAATAATTTAACTCAATTTTCAGCACTGTGAAGACAAAATTTCAATTGAGATGACATTGACATAAGACCTGTCACCCGCTAGTACCTCACAGACGTTAGGCGGGTACCCGTACCACGTGATTTTTTGACATTCGGACGACGTCACATCCGTCTTCCCCTATTCCCGTTCTTCACGAAAATTTGAGTATCGGTTTCCAGGTAGTGCACTGTAAAAATCCTTAACGTTGGGAAGCTTTAGGTTGTTCGGATATAAATCGAAATTACTTTGAACCCAAACATCAAAATATCCCAAAACATAACCACACCAACCACACGACATGATAATTGGCGCTCATTTACCCATTAATCCCCCAATTACCAGCTTAACGTTATAAAATGTCACTAAATTTGCCGAACGAAGAGTAAGCGATAGAGATACTAAGTGGTCGTAAACCTAACTAACGACAACGAAAAAAGAAATTTGTTGCAGAAAACTACATATTGAATTCTGTTGTACGCAAAGACCCAGTGGTTACCAGCCCTCAAAACCGGGTTGTTCTAGAACTTCCTTGAAAGCAACTACAGTACTCAAATAGTTGCAAAGAAGGTTTAGCGATACAAAAGAAAACAAACTGTAGGATATTTCAGTCAGCAAAACCGCCATGGGGGTCAGTGTGAACTGCCTTCATTTTACCTGAAGACACGCAATTAAAATAGGCATTCGAGAGGCGCCAAAGGGGCATTGAATATCGCAGTGCCATCTGTGAGATAGTAGCAGAACCAAACGCTCTTCAAAGTGGATTTCTAAATCCATTTTTGTGTTCTTCTACTGTCTCATAAATGGAGCTAGGTTCTTTCTTTTTGAGCGTCGGAATACCGTATATGGTTACTAACTTCAGGTAGGATATATGTTAATGTCATAGCCCTCAACGAAAAAGTAAAATCCGATAATAAATTGGCTGAAAAAAACTTAAAACACTGTATATCGCATCATATTTTGTCTGGTCGCGCCTCTCCAATTTCCCATTTCTGTTTTATTTAGAAAACAATGCGGTATCGAAGTTTTGCCGGCTTGGATAATGGGAAACGGGTAGTAAAGGCGGGAAAAGGGGAACGCGGAATGGCATCAGCATAGAATATCATGGCGAGGACGTCGGGAAGCGTTGGATATATCTGGGATGGTCGTGAAATTCCCCCAAGGCTGGATCACGATTATCAGGGGCGCGCTTTTATACCAGAAAAAACACAAGAGAGGGCACAAAAGATCTAGGCTATTCAGTTTTGCTGGGGTTTAAGTAAAGACATGAAAAGAACTCCGTAGTGAAAGCCAATTTTTTTAAGTATGAATGAGAATGGGACCAAAGATTTTGAATGTGAATTCATACTTGTTAGTTGTTAGTTCTTAGAGGAAGGGTCCTGAAGTGGAAGTGAAGGAATCTGCCTATTATGTGGGCAGCGGGGGAGTTAAATGACAAAATGAAAATTGAAGACGGGGGGAGAGTAAGCTAGGTGACGGTTTAGCGTGTAATGTACTCGTATTTGGATTCAGAGACATACATAACTTTTTACTAGTAGTTTACTGTATCTCAAGATTTATTCACATTTGTACAAGCGTTTTGGAGCTGCGCAAGCTTACAACGTCATGATCCGACAATGACACAAGGCGGCCAACTTATACGGAATTACGGAGCACAGAGGGCGATGTTGGAGATCATATACATTACAGAATGGTACAGCGTTTTTATCCTTTATAGCAGTAGCCGTGGATATCTAATCAACAAACTGTCAAATCTGACAACCAAGTGAAAACTGTTGTCAAACTGACAAAGCTATCCAGTATACAAGCGCTCCGTCGTTGGGCCGCTTCATATCGGCTGAACGCACCCAGCATATTCCCATGATTATAGATCTTAGAAGAACAAAAAACTATTCCATCCTTATATTGAAAATATAAATACTACTTTACCTTTCGGCCACGTTGACAATAATAGTCAAATAACTCCAGCGTCAACATTAATCACCGTACTTGACCCTCGTCGCTTGACGCTCTCATAAAAATGTGATTTTATTGTAATTAACCAGGTATTTACTCAAGTAATCGTCACTCTTTTTTTTGTTCGATCCAAAAAATTATTTGATTTGGGCTTCATACCCGATCAAAGAACACGCAACTCTAAGAAGAAATGGCGGGAAGCAAATTCACAGATTTAACTGAATGTGTCTGCTCTCCATCTCTATAACCATGACCAACCACATACAGTGTTATTTAATGCTTTTTAGCAATCATTAGATGATGCAACAGCAATGTATGTGGTTGGTCATGATTACAGAGAAGGAAAGCAAACATATTTAGTTCCGTCTGGCTAACGATTCGTCCTTCTACTGATGGTGGGGCGACATCTATGCGGTCGTAAAACGGGAACTGACACTTAATGTGAATCATAGGCGTCTGAGCCTCCTGAATTTTCAGCGTATGGGCTGAAGAATATCAAACTTTAACGAACTATTCTAAGGTGAAAGTTGTCACTTACTTAAAGCAAATTCACGATTGCTCGTTCCAGGCATATCAGGCAACCTCGAGGTCTCGGTTTTCGGCTTTAGGTATCGACTGTTGTTTAGGCTTTCGTGCTGGTTTAAGCATAAAAAGGAGGACGTTGATATTTGACTTACATATTGATCCTCTGCTGGTGCTGATAACTTCTATTGCTGGATGATCCAGCACCAGATCCCCCCGCCGTCGCCGTCGACGCTGTAGCCGCATCTCCATCCTCCGTATCGCTAGACGTCTGCTGCCCCCCGCCGCTAGATGGCGCAGCAGCCGTCGATGCCAGCTGCCACAATCTACGTTGTTCGCGGAGTTCGAGCTGCTCCCGTTCGCGCTCACGTTCGTCGTAGCGCTGTTGCAAAAGTTCGTCGTCCAAACGGCGGATTTCTCGCTGTTCACGTTCGGCGAAACGAACCTGTTCCTGACGCGAAACAGAAAAAAGAAATCAAATTACGAGCCAGCCGGTAAATTCGGAAAATTTTAGACAGTATATTTTTAAAGATGAACTTTATGCCTATTGGTATACGAGTATGTATTCATTTTTTTGATTTATATACTCAGAGCATAAACCATGTAAGACAAGTTACAATAATTTTTTAATGGGTTGTCTTATGGAGATCTAGGTCGCCAAGGAGCGCCTTCGAAAATAATGTTTCTTGAATAACTTCTGGAAAACGTCGTATGATTGACCGAATTTTTTAGAGCATAGTAACCAAATGGTTATCAGATGCTGCTGCTTATAAAAAACCCGCAACTCATTCAGATCGTTATAGGCGGACTAGCATTAAAGCATTATTGCTAACTTTTTACACCCTGTATAGTAATGGATACACAATATTGAAAATTTTGCTCTTTAATCTGAGAAAAAATGTGCTCTTGAGAAGATTTAAAAAAAAACAGTCCTGTTTTGATAGTATTCGTATCGATAAGCCGTGATCGACCTGCAGTTGGACAAAAACCTAAAACTTCAATACATAGTCGGGAAATCCATTCTGTCGGGTTGCTGAGTCCGGATCCGTCATAAGAATTACCCTATGCATTTTTAAGATTGCGAGAAGAAATCTATACAGAGTTATTCAAGTTACAACCATGATTTACGGAACAAATAGTTCTAGCTGTCCTTCCAACCCAGAACTGCGTGCAGTAGGAGTAAAATAAACCGTTTGTTTATAAATCGATTGAAAAAAACAAAAAATTGCACTTCCCTATAGTTACAACGAAATTTTCGATTTGATGCTAGTTTACGGTGTCTTAAGATGCTTATAGGACAGCACTTGACATTTCTTATCAAATGAACAGTGCATACAATTTTTTTTCACCTTTTCGCTGATACTTTATCGCACATTTTTTTTGTTATTTCAAACGTAGTTGTTTTTCAAACAGAAAGTCCACATTTAGTACCTTATACTGGACAGCAACAACACTGTTTCTCTGTGATTATAAAATACTGACCCTAACCGCCTGATCATATTCGATCTGTCTCTGGTCCTTAGAGGTGGCACTTTTCTTTTCCTCTTCGGCGGCTGCCGCCTTTTCCTTATCCTTAGAGGCGGATGAGCCGCCTGGACCCGACGGCGGGTACGAGATCCAAAATTGGTGGGCCAGCTTGCACCGGCCGCACTACCAATGATACTCTGCCTGCGCCAAATCACAAACGTAGATTATCTCAGCACCTGTAACAATAAATAAGCCTTCTGAAAATTTTCAAAATCTAAAAATACTGTAAGTTTTGATATTTTTCGGAAACTTGAGAACTTGAAATTTTTAGTATTAGGAAAATTCGGAACTTTTGGAATTTTAAAACATTTGGAAATTTTGAAATTTTCGAAATATTGGAATGTTGGAAATTCTGGAAATATTGGAATTTTAGATAATTCTGTATATTTCGTAAAATTCGCAATTTTTTAAATCTTGTAAATTTTGTAAGTTTTGTAAATTTTGTGAATTTTGTAAATTTTGTAAATTTTGTAAATTTTGTAAATTTTGTAAATTTTGTAAATTTTGTAAATTTTGTAAATTTTGTAAATTTTGTAATTTTGTAATTTTGTAAATTTTGTAAATTTTGTAAATTTTGTAAATTTTGTAAATTTTGTAAATTTTGTAAATTTTGTAAATTTTGTAAATTTTGTAAATTTTGTAAATTTTGTAAATTTTGTACATTTTGTAAATTTTGTAAATTTTGTAAATTTTGTAAATTTTGTAAATTTTGTAAATTTGTAAATTTTGTAAATTTTGTAAATTTTGTAAATTTTGTAAATTTTGTAAATTTTGTAAATTTTGTAAATTTTGTAAATTTTGTAAATTTCGTAAATTTTGTAAATTTCGTAAATTTTGTAAATTTCGTAAATTTTGTAAATTTTGTAAATTTTGTAAATTTTGTAAATTTTGTAAATTTTGTAAATTTTGTAAATTTTGTAAATTTTGTAAATTTTGTAAATTTTGTAAATTTTGTAAATTTTGTAAATTTTGTAAATTTTGTAAATTTTGTAAATTTTGTAAATTTTGTAAATTTTGTAAATTTTGTAAATTTTGTAAATTTTGTAAATTTTGTAAATTTTGTAAATTTTGTAAATTTTGTAAATTTTGTAAATTTTGTAAATTTTGTAAATTTTGTGAATTTTGTAAATTTTGTAAATTTTGTAAATTTTGTAAATTTTGTAAATTTTGTAAATTTTGTAAATTTTGTAAATTTGTAAATTTTGTAAATTTTGTAATTTTGTAAATTTTGTAAATTTTGTTAAATTTTGTAAATTTTGTAAATTTTGTAAATTTTGTAAATTTTGTAAATTTTGTAAATTTTGTAAATTTTGTAAATTTTGTAAATTTTGTAAATTTGTAAATTTTGTAAATTTTGTAAATTTTGTAAATTTTGTAAATTTTGTAAATTTTGTAAATTTTGTAAATTTTGTAAATTTTGTAAATTTTGTAAATTTTGTAAATTTTGTAAATTTTGTAAATTTTGTAAATTTTGTAAATTTTGTAAATTTTGTAATTTTGTAAATTTTGTAAATTTTGTAAATTTTGTAAATTTTGTAAATTTTGTAAATTTTGTAAATTTTGTAAATTTTGTAAATTTTGTAAATTTTGTAATTTTGTAAATTTTGTAAATTTTGTAAATTTTGTAATTTTGTAAATTTTGTAAATTTTGTAAATTTTGTAAATTTTGTAAATTTTGTAAATTTTGTAAATTTTGTAAATTTTGTAAATTTTGTAAATTTTGTAAATTTTGTAAATTTGTAAATTTTGAATTTTGTAAATTTTGTAAATTTTGTAAATTTTGTAAATTTTGTAAATTTTGTAAATTTTGTAAATTTTGTAAATTTTGTAAATTTTGTAAATTTTGTAAATTTGTAAATTTTGTAAATTTTGTAAATTTTTTTGTAAATTTTGTAAATTTTGTAAATTTTGTAAATTTTGTAATTTTGTAAATTTTGTAAATTTTGTAAATTTTGTAAATTTTGTAAATTTTGTAAATTTTGTAAATTTTGTAAATTTTGTAAATTTTGTAAATTTTGTAAATTTTGTAAATTTTGTAAATTTTGTAAATTTTGTAAATTTTGTAAATTTTGTAAATTTTGTAAATTTTGTAAATTTTGTAAATTTTGTAAATTTTGTAAATTTTGTAAATTTGTAAATTTTGTAAATTTTGTAAATTTTGTAAATTTTGTAAATTTTGTAAATTTTGTAAATTTTGTAAATTTTGTAAATTTTGTAAATTTTGTAAATTTTGTAAATTTTGTAAATTTTGTAAATTTTGTAAATTTTGTAAATTTTGTAAATTTTGTAAATTTTGTAAATTTTGTAAATTTTGTAAATTTTGTAAATTTTGTAAATTTTGTAAATTTTGTAAATTTTGTAAATTTTGTAAATTTTGTAATTTTGTAAATTTTGTAAATTTTGTAAATTTTGAATTTTGTAAATTTTGTAAATTTTGTAAATTTTGTAAATTTTGTAAATTTGTAAATTTTGTAAATTTTGTTGTAAATTTTGTAAATTTTGTAATTTTGTAAATTTTGTAAATTTTGTAAATTTTGTAAATTTTGTAAATTTTGTAAATTTGTAAATTTTGTAAATTTTGTAAATTTGTAAAAATTTTGTAAATTTTGTAAATTTTGTAAATTTTGAATTTTGTAAATTTTGTAAATTTTGTAAATTTTGTAAATTTTGTAAATTTTGTAAATTTTGTAAATTTTGTAAATTTTGTAAATTTTGTAAATTTTGTAAATTTTGTAAATTTTGTAAATTTTGTAAATTTTGTAAATTTTGTAAATTTGTAAATTTTGTAAATTTTGTAAATTTTGAATTTTGTAAATTTTGTAAATTTTGTAAATTTTGTAAATTTTGTAAATTTTGTAAATTTTGTAAATTTTGTAAATTTTGTAAATTTTGTAAATTTTGTAAATTTTGTAAATTTTGTAAATTTTGTAATTTTGTAAATTTTGTAAATTGTTTTGTAAATTTTGTAAATTTTGTAAATTTTGTAAATTTTGTAAATTTTGTAAATTTTGTAAATTTTGTAAATTTTGTAAATTTTGTAAATTTTGTAAATTTTGTAAATTTTGTAAATTTTGTAAATTTTGTAAATTTTGTAAATTTTGTAAATTTTGTAAATTTTGTAAATTTTGTAAATTTTGTAAATTTTGTAAATTTGTAAATTTTGTAAATTTTGTAAATTTTGTAAATTTTGTAAATTTTGTAAATTTTGTAAATTTTGTAAATTTTGTAAATTTTGTAAATTTTGTAAATTTTGTAATTTTGTAAATTTTGTAAATTTTGTAAATTTTGTAAATTTTGTAAATTGTAAATTTTGTAAATTTGTAAATTTTGTAAATTTTGTAAATTTTGTAAATTTTGTAAATTTTGTAAATTTTGTAAATTTTGTAAATTTGTAAATTTTGTAAATTTTGTAAATTTTGTAAATTTTGTAAATTTTGTAAATTTTGTAAATTTTGTAAATTTTGTAAATTTTGTAAATTTTGTAAATTTTGTAAATTTGTAAATTTTGTAATTTTGTAAATTTTGTAAATTTTGTAAATTTGTAAATTTTGTAAATTTTGTAAATTTTGAATTTTGTAAATTTTGTAAATTTTGTAAATTTTGTAAATTTTGTAAATTTTGTAAATTTTGTAAATTTTGTAAATTTTGTAAATTTTTAAATTTTGTAAATTTTGTAAATTTTGTAAATTTTGTAATTTTGTAAATTTTGTAATTTTGTAAATTTTGTAAATTTTGTAATTTGTAAAATTTTGTAAATTTTGTTAATTTTGTAAATTTTGTAAATTTGTGACATTTGTAAATTTTGTAAATAAGGTAACTGTAAATTTTGTAAATTTTGTAAATTTTGTAAATTTTGTAAATTTTGTAAATTTTGTAAATTTTGTAAATTTTGTAAATTTTGTAAATTTTGTAAATTTTGTAAATTTTGTTTAAAATTTTGTAAATTTTGTAAATTTTTGTAAATTTTGTAAATTTTGTAAATTTTGTAAATCTTTGTTAAATTTTGTAAATTCTGTAAATTTTAATTTTGTAAATTTTGTAAATTTTGAATTTTGTAAATTTTGTAAATTTTGTAAATTTTGTAAATTTTGTTAAATTTTGTCAATTTTGTAAAATTTTTAAATTTTGTAAATTTTGAAATTTTGTAAATTTGTAAATTTTGTAAATTTTGTAAATTTTGTAAATTTTGTAAATTTTGTAAATTTTGTAAAATTTTGTAAATTTTGTAAATTTTGTAAATTTTGTAAATTTTGTAAATTTGTAAATTTTGTAAATTTTGTAAATTTTGTAAATTTTGTAAATTTTGTAAATTTTGTAAATTTTTGAAATTTTGTAAATTTTTGTAAATTTTGTAAATTTTGTAAATTTTGTAATTTTGTAAATTTTGTAAATTTGTAAATTTTGTAAATTTTGTAAATTTTGTAAATTTTGTAAATTTTGTAAATTTTGTAAATTTTGTAAATTTTGTAAATTTTGTAAATTTTGTAAATTTTGTAAATTTTGTAAATTTTGTAAATTTTGTAAATTTTGTAAATTTTGTAAATTTTGTAAATTTTGTAAATTTTGTAAATTTTGTAAATTTTGTAAATTTGTAAATTTTGTAAATTTTGTAAATTTTGTAAATTTGTAAATTTTGTAAATTTTGTAAATTTTGTAAATTTTGTAAATTTTGTAAATTTTGTAAATTTTGTAAATTTTGTAAATTTTGTAAATTTTGTAAATTTTGTAAATTTTTAAATTTTGTAAATTTTGTAAATTTTGTAAATTTTGTAATTTTGTAAATTTTGTAAATTTTGTAAATTTGTAAATTTTGTAAATTTTGTAAATTTTGTAAATTTGTAAATTTTGTAAATTTTGTAAATTTTGTAAATTTTGTAAATTTTGTAAATTTTGTAAATTTTGTAAATTTTGTAAATTTTGTAAATTTGTAAATTTTGTAAATTTTGTAAATTTGTTAAATTTTGTAAATTTTGTAAATTTTGTAAATTTTTAATTTGTAAATTTTGTAAATTTTGTAAATTTTGTAAATTTTGTAAATTTTGTAAATTTTGTAAATTTTGTAAATTTTGTAAATTTTGTAAATTTTGTAAATTTTGTAAATTTTGTAAATTTGTAAATTTTGTAAATTTTGTAAATTTGTAAATTTTGTAAATTTTGTAAATTTTGTAAATTTTGT